ACAGCGGTGCCACAGACAAGAGGTGAACCCAGGCCGTGCAACGTTTAATCATTCCCTGCCCAGGCACTCTGGGAGCAGGAAGGACTCAGCCAAAACAACCTTTAGCATTCCTGAAGCTCCGTTCCTTTTTCTCTTTCCCAGCAACCTCAGTCACCTCCACCGTCTCCGCATCCCCTGACCACCCAGCTACACTAAGAGGCTTCTCCTGGTATCCACACTTCCCAGTGAGTTGAGTCCCAGACACCCCAGGAGCTGAAGCTGCACCCACCCCTCCCCACCCCCAACCCCCAGCTGCCCTTGGAGTGAGCTCTTTTTGTCCCTCGGGATGTCCAGAACACTTTCACCTGACTGGTTACAAACTAAGCCAACGGCGACTGCTGTCCTCTGCATTCGTGAGGACTTTGCAGGAAGCAGAGCAGGGGTTGAAAAACATTCATGTGGTTTTCAGAAATCAGTCTGAAGCACAGCCATGCCCTCCAAACAACCCGTCATGCTCCCCGGCCTGAGGCAAATACCCAAAACTTTCCCGAAACCACATAACAAAAATCCCACCAGGCCGGGCCACAGCCAGGTTCGGGAACAGCAGTGCTTGATCTTGGACTCCAAGGGATTTTCACCTTGGCACTGCCTGCCCCCTGCTGCAGTGTGCCCTGCTTCGTGCGCTGATTTGAAGAAGTGTGCAGCCCACACCAGCATTGCCTACAGTAAAAGGGGTGTGGAGGCATGAAGACAAAGAGCAGGAGGCTTTTCCCAGAGCCAGGATTCTGTCCAGCTGTGTGCCTGCACCCCGGTCTCCTGCTGTGCACTGACACCCTAGATGCTCTCAATCGGCTTCCGGCGGCTCCCGCTGCCCTGGGTGAGCGCGATGGATGACGTGGAAAGCTTCCTGTGATAAAAGCTTCCGTGTTCCCTTGAGCTCGCCTGAGAGCAGCCTAACTGGAGCTTCTGTGCTTCCTGCCATTTCTGGCGGGGAGGCCCCTCGGTGGGGCTGCAGGCTTCCCTGTTCCACCTGAAGCATCCTTCTCTCCCTCTCTCTCAGCTACGCTTTGAACATATCTTCTGGCTGTAAAAACCATGAACACCCCAGGCTCAAAGCTCCCGGGGCCCAGAGCTAGCAGCTAGAGGGAGAAGATGATGGGGGAATCGAGGGATATTAGCTTCCTGGCCTCGCTGTGGCACCAGAATCCCCAGCATACACACAGGGCCCTTTACTGTTTAGTTGGCAGCACTGGAGAATGTTGAATAAGAAATGCTTGAAACACAGGATTCCTAGAATTTTTCTACAATTTTAATCTGATAGCACCGCAGTGCTCATCCCGTATTAAACCTTTGGCTTCTGTTGTCCCCCGATCAAACAGGAATGTGGCAGCCAAGCCTCACCTTATTAAAGGTTCCGCCTCCTCCCCCAGCCTTGTCGCTCACCTCCGCTCGCTCAGTCATAGCTCCGCTCCCTACAGTTCATCCTGACTTTTCCTTCTTGGGAGGCAGGACGTGCCCAGTCCTGCCCAGACCCCTGTGAGTCTCCAGGACTCATCTCCTGCAGGAAGCCCTTGCCCACCCTGCAGGCCAGGTGATATCCCACCCCCGACGCATCCTGGTGACAGCACTACTACAGGGCTTACCCTAGAGTATCACCATTGCTGTGGACTCGGCTGCCTTCTCTGAGAAACACGAAACTACCTACAGCAGGGACCAGGTCTTTAACATCTTCTCTTCCCCGATTGCCGGCGCAGTCCACACAAATAAACATCTAAATCATGGGTGAATGAACCAACAGCGGCAGCAAGGGGGACATCTCTGGGTTCCTGTGAACCGCAGATCTCCAGGGTTACGGGAAGCGGCGGTTTTATTACTGTGTTTCTCAGATGACAATTTCAGCTACCTGTTTCTCAAATCATAAAACCCAACATGAGCTTCCTGAGTCCTGACACACGTGAGTAAAATGCACACTCACTCACTCACTTCTTCCTTCCTTCGACTGGTAATTATGGTGCACGTGTGGGATGTGCAGGTGAATAAGCCTGGTGCAGCCTGTGATTATGCAGTACGTCCAGGGTCTGTCTGGGGAGCGAGACCCTCCTGCTTTCAAAGGGAACCTAGGGCTGCAGAACTTGTACGGACTTGTGATGCCCAAGCTCAGTGAAGGACACTGAAGTCTTCCAGTGGATCTGGGCAAGAGCTGCCTATGCCTACTGGGAGTAACTGTTTTCCCTGGGAGCAGGTGGAACCAGCCAAAGAGGAAGCGAGTTTTGGAAGCAGCTGCACAGATCCTGGTAAGACCTCAATGGTCTCTGAGACCTTGGCCAGAGCCTAAACATCTCAAAAACCACTCCTCACCTTGAGGAAGGGCGAGCAGCTCCCTCAGGTACAAGGAGACAGGAAGCCTAGCCCTAGACCCCTGCCATCGCCCAGTGCCCCAGCAAATGCTGTTGGCACAGATCTGGCCTCACAGCAAACCTGCACCAAGACTGGATACCACATACTGCGATCACCGTGACTGTGAACTTGGGCGTCCATCATCCAGAGAATGGTGGCAACAGCACCACCCGCGAGGAGCACTGTGAGGGTCAGACAGGACAGTGCACAGCAGTTCCCCCTCACCTGCAGGGTGTATGTTCCAAGGCCTCCAGTGGGTGCTTGAAACTCTGGATCATACATATATTGTAATATTTTATTATAGTTATTATGCAGCTATTACTCATCAGACTTTACTGTGGGGCTACACATTTGAATCATTAGCTCTTTCCAGCCATTTTATTACATTGGAATTACAATATCATCATGCCTCAGGCAACTACAAAAACAGATCTGTGCCATGTATCTGACAAGCCACAGTACGGCAGTACATGTATATTTACATATGTATATGTGTACATATGAGTTCATGGAATATATACATGTGTATATTTATATAGACACATATATATATATATGAGTTCATGGAAAAAGAGGCAATGAAAGACGAGTTTATTTTGGTGCATAAGTGTCTGAAATCCATCAATAGTTTTTTCATAATATACATTTCCACAAACTTTTAAAAGATATGCCAAATGCATGGATTTCAAAACTTTTGCATCAAAAGATACTTCTCCTTTAATTTCATTTTCTAAGAATTGAATTGTCCTCATACTGTTTTTCCCTCTCCATGCATACTTCTGATGAAGTTTAATTTATCAAGTAGGCATAGTAAGAGGTTGATAACATAAAATAGGGCAATCCTACCAATATACGGTAACAAGAGTTGAATGAATGTGATCTCTGTCTCTCAAAGTGTGTTGTACTGCACTGGAATTCTTCGCTGAACATTCTGGACTTCAGTGGACCGGGTGTAACTAAACACATATAAGGGGGACTGCTGTACTGTGGCCTGTCGGAATCTGTATAAATGTGTTTGCTAGAGGAATGAATGATGATATTGTAATTCCAGTATCAGAAAATGACTGAAGGAGCTAATGATTCAAATGTTTAGCTCCCACAGTAAAGTCTGATGAGTAATATCTGTGTAATACCAATAATAATGTATTGCAGTATGTTGTAATACACCACTATGTGGTACAATACAGCATAATATCTTAATAATGAACAGCACTAGTTTGCAATTAGTGACTATCAAGTACCAGGTCCTATTCTAGGCACTTCATTAAAACCTAACTTGCTACTTCCCAATGAAGCAGGTCCTAGCAAGAGCGTGAGCTGGGGCTGACGCTGTGGCATAGTGGGCTGCAACACCAGCTTCCTATATAGCGGCTGGTTTCAAGTCCCTCCCCTGCCCCGCCCTGCTCCACTTCTGATCCAGCTCTCTGCTAATGGCCTGGAAAAGCAGGGGAAGATGGACCAAATACTTGGATCCCTGCACCCATATGGGAGACCCAGAAGAAGTTCCTGGCTCCAGCCTCTGGCCTTACCTAACCCCAGCCATTGTAGCCATTTGGGGAATGAACTAGTAGATGGAAGATCAATTCTCTCTCTCTCCCCTCCTCTCTCTGTAACGCTGCCTTTCAAATAAATAAATAAATGAGAAGGGGGCGGGAAGTTAAGGCGGAGAGGTTGAGTAACACCCCCAAGTCATACAACCAGAAACTCGTGGTGCTAGCAATCCAAGATGGCTGGGCTGCAAAGCCTGCCACCCTATGCCACTGGCAACAACTCCAACCATCAGGCACACCACCACCATGAAGCCCACACCCTGTGGCTCTGCCCCTCCCTCAGCAGCTGCACGCCAGTCTCAGTCTCCCTCTGAAATCCACCTTGGGCCTGCAATCCAACCTCCTTGAGTTTTTCACACCCCTTTTCTATTTGCAGCTGGCACAATTCCACCTCCTATTGTACAAAGGCCCTGACTGTCCTCACATGCTCTGTTTTGCCCTTCAAGGGCAGCCCCTAATTTCTGGACTCTGCTCAAGGGCTTCAGAGTCTTCTGCCGAAAGGGATCTAAGTCTGCCTACTTCGAGCTCTGCGTTGCCTTTGAAGTCCCAGGAATTAAAATGTTCTAAAATGACAGCAGTGCTACTCTGGGCCTACGCTGCTAGGAGCACATGCTGTAGTTTCCAAAGTCTGTAGGGGTGGTGGGACTCTGGGCACCCTTCCCTTTGGAACCAAAGTCTTGCTTTTATCTGTTTTCTATATCCTGGTTTCCTTTGAAAAGAGCTCCTGCTTTAAAAGATTTTTGAATACCAATAAAAGGACCTACCACATTGAGGGTGACTCAATGTATGTTGTGAAAAACATGCTTAGAAATGGTCGCTGCCCTCATGTGACAGATGAAGCTAAGGCAGGTCCAAAGAGCCATCCACCTGTCCCCCTCCCCTCCTGAGTCTTCTGAGATGACTGGCTCCCTAGGGAAACCAGGAGAGTGCTGCCTTTAGAATTCCAACAGCTTCTGGAGTCTTCTAGAGCAAGGAAGTAACCACAGAAACATGGGCAGCTGCTCCAGTCCTCGACAGCCCTGTGGGGTGACAGGAGGCAGGACAAAGCCAAGGGAGACTTCGGATGAGCCTTACCTGCTTCTCGATGAAAGCGTTGATTCTCTGGAGCATTCCCTCACACGTGAACTCATATGGCATGTACGGCTCAATCTGCAGAAACAGAACAGGGCACTGTGAGAGGGTGGTCCCAGGACACCTGCACTTACCAGGTCTCCACACGTTCATTCAACCCATACCTGCCAACATCTGGAGGTGGCCTCATCAGATGTTAAGAGTGTGGACTTGGACTAAAACAGACAACACTCCCAACCTCACTCTGCTTCCTAGGTGTGCGACCCTCGGCACCCTACCTATCACCTCTACATCTCATTTGGAAAAGGATATGAAAATCCATGTCTTTTAAGCTCTGGTAGAGATTACGTGGGGGGAAAGGTGTTTAGTTCAGGGTCTGGTACCTACTAGGCACTCAACAAATGTGGTGGTCACCAGCTGCTGGTTGGTAAGCTCCATGGGGTAGGGTCCATAGCTACTAGGTCATCTTTGCACCCCAGTACTGAGCATAGCACAGCACATCCAGGAACTTAGAGGACATCTGAGTGGATACATGGTCACTGCTCTGAGAAAGGCAAGCAAGGAAGGACCCACAAGAAAATCACTGGGCTGTGTTAGAAGCAAGGTCAGCAGGTATCCACAGACGGTGTCTTGCAAACGCAGAGCAGAGATGTGCCACAGAGAGTTCACTGAGGGGATCCTGGAAAGCCAGAGGTCCAAGCAGACTTTTGCTCCTGTGGGCTTTTAAGGTCCACTATGGTTCTCCCAAGCTCAGAGGGGGAAGACACTCCAGGTGGAGCACGTACTGTGAGATATGACAGTGCTGGCTCAGGGGGAAGCTGGAGCTTAGGATCATGCAGGCTGGCGAGATAAGGCCGGTAGGAGACAGATCTCCATGAGAGCCTTCAGGTTTCTATGCCAAGGAAACCAGACTTGATGTGAAGGGAGCAGGAAACCCTAGATGTTTCATCGAGGTCGGGGAGGCATCTGATGAACATGACGCCCGAGGACAGGGGAAGAAACACAACCTGATCTCTGCTACATACCACGTGCCAACACCACCAAGGCCTGTGATGTGAGACGTTCTCCGTCTGAAGTGGACATTTCATTTGGAAGAAAAACATGAGCAGCACAGTCCATTACAGCTTCAGGGAGCCCAACAATAAGAGGGCAGGACTCCCTGCCAGCCCCCACTGAAGTGCACACTTATCTCGAACCTACAGGGTGGACCATCAGATCAAACATGTAAGCCGAAGCTGACCATGGGGTGTTCTTCCTGGGCAGCCAAGCTACTGGTCTCGGGGCATTCTCTCTGCCCTTCAGAACGCGAGCATTTCTTATGTGTTCAATCACATGTTACACTTGCGATCTTCTTAAGTCTCAAAATACTGTCAGACCCACAACTAGATGGTCAGTCGTGGAGGATGGACCTCCCACAACTGTCCAGACAGCCCTAAAAGAGGCCACGCTGTATGTACTGGAATATCAAGGCCCATGGTTCTGCCCAAACGGAGGCCACTCTATTCTAGTCTCTGAAGAGCTCAACACCCTTTCAAGAACCACCTCTCATGTCATCAGCTTGCTCCTCCTTAGTCCAAGCTTTTCAACTTACTGGGCCCTGTCACCCAGACAGCTTTTCCCCGCAAATGTAAATGTTTTCTTTGATTTTAAAGGATATTTATTTATTCAATCCATGAGTGAGTCTAGAAGCTTTCTATAACTGGCTTAGAGACACGTCTCCTCTCAAAGTTTCATAGAAGGAACAGAAGAAATGTTCCAAAATAGGATATAAGGCATGTCTGGGTTCCTTTTCAAGTGCACAAGTAGAATGTCTCGAGCAAAATCGATGTGAGCGGCCCATCTGTTGCTAGATGAACAAATCCAGATTTGCTGTAGGAATCTCAGGGTCACTGCAACATCGTATTCTGGGGGGGCATCCATCAGAAAATGGAAGTGAATTAACTCAGAGAGCTCAACACAGTAAATACAGAACCGTGACCCTTACTCCTCTTCCTCTGTTCTCCTGTAAACTAAGCCCGGGTTACCTAAAGGGATACTGACTCATTTGCTGCCTTTGGGCCAAGTTGCCATTTAAAAGGAAATGAGGTCAGTTTTCCTACAAAGGGAAAGCCAAAAAAAAAAAAGGCACTTAGATTGTGTCTGTGAGTTCACGGGCCGTCCGGCTGTATTGTGTCTGTGAGTTCATGGGCTGTCCGGCTGTATTGTCTGTGAGTTCACGGGCCGTCCGGCTGTGAACGTGAGCAGCGCTCTCCGGGTGGGAAAGCCCCCAGACCGCTGATTTCAGGCATAGGCAGCTCTGGTACGCCCCAAGGCAGGAGCTGTTGCATGCAGGGTGGGCAGTTTTCAGTCTACCAGCCCTTCAGGGACAACGCAAGACCAACTTGAGGGCTGGATGAAAGAGAATGCTAAAGCCACATCTAGTGGCCGAGCAACCCGAGTAGGGCCAGTTGGGGAGAAATAAAGCCATCTTGCTTTCTGGAAAACTATTACTCAACTGGCCAGGGCTCCAGGAAGGATGCCTGCAGGCTGCACGGTGGACTGCTTGCTTGCCTTGAAAACGTTCCACTATGTCCCAGCCTTCTCCTTTTCTCCTCTTGATCTTCTTACAAGGTTTCCTGTCCCGTCTCTACTAGTATCCACCCACGTTTCTGCACCAGGTTACAGCTCCCACAGGGAGCCACTCACAGAGATCAGCCTTCCCGAGGCACCTTCCAGGGCCCAGCCTAACAGCTGGCTTGGCGTTGTTTACTGAGAGACACTCTTAGAAGGCACCAGAACATCAAGGTTTGAGTCCTGGCTCCTCCGGTTTGAGCAACCATAAGATTCTGAGTTCGGCAGAGGCTGCAATTTTTCTGTGTAAATCAGGTCATGTCACCTGTCCTGTTCAAAACTTCCCACTGGAGGTGGGGTAATGGTCTAACGGGTTAAGCCATCACATAAAATGCTGGCATCACATATGGGCACTGCTTTGAGTCCCAGCTACTCCACTTCCAATCCAGCTCCCTGCTAATGGCCTGCGAAAGCAACCAATGATGGCTCAAGGGCTTGGGCCCCTGTACCCACATTGGAGATCAGGAAGAAGCTCCTGGCTCCTGGCTTTTGATCAACCCAACTCTGGCCACTGGAGCCATCTGGAGAGTGAACCAGCAGGTGGCAGCGCTCTCTTCCTCTCTCTGTGTAACTGTACCTTCAAATACATAAATATAAAACAAAAACAAAAACCTTCCCACACCAAACTTATTAAAGCCAGAATCCTCACCACGGTTTATTTAAGAGCTCTGGCTCCTAAGGACCCTTTCGTCATCTGTAACTGATGAGAAGTTGGATGCTTTATTCTCCTAACATCTCACTGCTTTCAAAATTTCCCCCTATGTTTGCTTTTCAGCAGTTGGATTATAATGTATCTGGATTTGTTTTTCTTTGTGCAGAGACCTTTGTGCTTGGAGTTCTCCAGGCTCCTAGAATCTTATAGGTTGATGCCATTCATTGATTTTGGAAAATTCTACTTCATTGTCTTTTCCAATACTTCTTTTGTCCCAATTCCTTTTGTTTATGAGATTCCAATCACATATAAATTAGGCAACTTGATACCACTCTACAGAGTCTACATCCTCTTCTTTCCTCATACCCCTTTTCCTTTGTGTTTCAATTTGTAGAATTTCTGGTTGACCAGTCTTCAAAAGTTCACTCAGATATTTCTTCTGCTGGGTATGGTCTGCTGATAAGCCCACTAAAAGAATTCTTCATTTCTGATACTCTATTCTTCATTTTTAACTTTTCTTTCATTTGACTTAAAAACAAGTTTTCATTGCTCTGGTCAAACTCCCCATCTGGTCACATATGTTGTCCATTTTTTTCAACAAACCGTCCACTACACTCATCAGAGCATTTTCAAAGTTCTTGTCTGATAATTCTAATATCTGGGCCATTTCTAAAACTGGCTTTATTGTTTATTAAGAATAATGATTTTTATGCTACTTTTTTATTGATCTCATTCTCTATCTCTAATTCCCATTCTTATCTTTGCCTGTACTCTATTTCATGATATTTTTTCCTTTTTAAATTTTATAGTATTTAAACAAACTACTCAAAAGGACCTAATTATGAATTGAGGTTTTACTAGTTACTGGCTGAGAGACCTTGGGCAAATTCCATGCCTTTTTGAAGCCTTAATTTTCACCTATAAAACAAGAATAATATTCCCAACTCCACAGAACTGTAAAAGGATTAAATGTGAAAAAGCTCATTAACGAGACTCTCTTGACATATAAGCTACTGTTATAATTATTAAAATGGCATGAAGTCATTTTTGGAATAAGGTTGAGGGAGGTTTTAAGCTGTGGTGCACTGACCATTTCTGTGGAATAGAGAGAACAGCTTCATTGGGGTGAGCATTCCCAGTCAATCGTGGTTTGACAAAGGGACCTGGTAAACCAAAAAGCTCTGGATCCCATGATCTAAAGTTTATGCCATGATCCCAACCTTTAAATGACTCCTTCAAAGGGGCACCAGCATTTTACTAAAGTGTGGTAGGCTGAACTCTGTTCCCAAAACTGTGTTGAGGTCCTGATCCTTGGTACCTATGATTGTGAACATATTTGGAAATAACATGCTGCAAGTGTACCGAAGTCAACAAGAGGCCACACTAAGTTAGGGTGTTTAGTTGCCTGTGAGGAGAGAAGACAGGCACAGAAAGGGAGAAGCCCCATGATGCAGGAAGAGGCAGGGATGAAAACTCAGGAGCTGCAAGCACAGGACACTTGGGCCCACCAGAGGCAGGAAGAGGCAAGGCGGAGTCTTCCCTGCATGACCTTGCTGACTTGTTGACTTTGGAATTTTGGCTCCAGGACTACCAGAGAGGACATTTCTGTTGTTGGAAGCCACCAAGTTTGCAGTACTCTGAGTGCCAGTCTTAGGGAACTAATGCACCAAGGGTTCTGGAGACTGACGCAAACAGCACCCTCGTCCTCCACAGGACTGGTGCTCAGGTGGGGAAGTGGTAGGTGAGGGCAGATATCCCGAGGCCATTCCAGCAGCTCAGCCACTGAAGTAGCTGAGCCTCAGCTCCAAACTGCTGAGATGGAGACGGCTGCTGCACCTGCTGGCAGCTACCCCAAAGCCCGACAACAAGACCTCCTTTAGAGGAGCAGGACAGAGATGATGCATCAGGTGTTCTTGCCCCCGACCCCGGGAATGTGTGAATGAAGTACAATCAGCAGCACAGTGGCCCACAGCTGAAAATCCCATTCTATCTCCCAAGGGGGAAAGATGGCCTTGGTGCAAGCAAGCTGTCTGCACCTCCAGGGATGTAAGCACTCCCAGTCTCTTCCTGTTTACTCCACAGTGCCTTGGGCCCCACCCTTCAGTTTTGTTCTGCAAATTCTTACTCATCCTCTAAGAATTAAACGTGGCATTCTCCGGAAAACCTCTTACCACTGCCACTCCTAGGGATTCTGCAGGTTGCTTTCCACATTGTATATACAATGGGACTTCAAAAAGTTCACGAAATCATACTGCGAGATAACTACATGCGGATTTCAAACATCTCTTGGACCAAAATAAACTTCTTCTTAAACTCCATTTTCCATGAACCTTAAAAAGCACCCAGGTACAAGTACAGGAGATTGTGGGGACTTGAGGGAGGCCAAGGCAGTCTTGGGATAAGTGAACTCAGCCTTACTCAACGGCCAGTTTTCTACAGGCAGGAGCCAGCCTGGTTCACGTTTATGGAAGTAACACCCTCTTCCCCCAGAAAGGCTCAGGGGGCGCTTTGTGCAGAGCAGGTACTTACTAAATTGCTGACATGGGTTCAGAAATGTTAAGAAGTTTTTACAAAATTCTACAAATTGCTTAGGACAAAAAAAAATCCCAATAGACAGATCTCTGTAAGAACGTTTCCCCATATTTCCTCAGTGCTGCAGTTTCTCTCTTTAAGAGAAGCAGGCCTAGCCTTTCACTGCTGTCCAGTAGGACCCAAGCCCTGGCTGCCGGGCAGGAGATACCAGCAACTGCGTTAACAGGACTTGTGGAACCCATGGTCACCTCTGGATACCAGCTGCTTCCGTCCCGCAGAACGTCTGTGTAATCTCCAGGCCAAATCCCACAGTTCTGCTGTTTCCTGACTCCAGGGTAAAGCTGAGGTGATTAAGCTGCACTTACTAAAACCCAGGGCCTGGGATGCTCTCCACACATTTCAGGTCCCATTATGCATGGGGACAAGCAGAAAAAAAGCAACCACCTTCTGATTTAAAATTGCTTTCACTGCATCCTCCACTTCCTCCCGGTGGCCGAGGTCCACAGTCCAAACGTGCGGTCGGCCGATGAAGACTTCAGCATAAGGATGCTGGGACGTCAGCTGGAAAAGAAACACCAAATGCCTCAGTTGCACAGTGACTTTTTCAACAACAACAAAAACTTCCTTGCTTTTTATTTATTTTATATTTTTAAATAGATGTATTTATTTGAAAGGCAGAGTGACAGAGAGGGAGAGACATTAAATAAGAGCTCTTCCATCCACTGATTCAGTCTGCAGATGGCTGCAACAGCTGGGGCTGGCAAGGCTGGAGCCAGGAGACTCCTTCTGGGTCTCCCACATGTTGGGAGTTGGTGGCAGGGCCTCAAGTGCTTGAGCCATCACTACTGCTTCCCAGGCGCATTAGCAGGGGGCTTGATTGGAAGCAGAGTTGGGACTCAAGCTAGTGCTCCCCTATGGGATGCAGACATTGTAGTGGCTCCACCCACTGTACCCCAAAACCTGCCCATCCCAGCCTGATGCTTTTTATGGTACTGAGTTGTACATGCATAGGTACCAAGACATTCTGGTCTTTCCCCTTACGGATCAAAACCTCCTAAGTATCCACAAAGCAGGTAAAATAAACAGTGATGGCTTCACACCCGGAATCCCACCGGGAATAAGAGGTGCAATGTCATAATCAGATGACAAGGCAGCACTTCCCCACGAGGAACGCTTACTCTCAGCCATAACCCAACCCTGACCATCATGTAGATCAAACCAGCGTGCATTATCCTAGCTACGACACACAGGTAAGCATAGAAAATTACACTAAGAACCAATCCTGGAAGGCATAGGATGATGAGAATTGTGTGTATGAAAAAGTCCTTGGAAAAGCAAAGAATTTTTAGGATGGCTTCAGGAATAATCAATCATTAATAACATTGGAGTTTTACATTTATAAGGACAGCTTGTAACCAGAACAGCAAAACATGGTGGTTCTATTTTAAAAACCAAGTGTAGCCAAAGAAAGCAAGCGTACACGCTGGCACACTTGAGGCGTGAGGTATTCAGGAGCCCAGTGTTTAAGGCAGCTGGGATTACCGCTCAGTCATGTTCCCATGGCTGTTCTTGTCATGGTATAAAGAAGCATCCTGGACACTTGCGGGTGTTTTTAGTTTGCACAATGACCGCGGAAGGCGGTGCTGCCCTCCATCTGTGCGTGGAGATGAGAGCTCCACCCCATCTCCTGACGGACAGCGGAGTCCAGCACAAGAACCAACTCGTCCAATCCAGCACCTGCCACACCACCACCATGGGCCCTGCTGGGCTCGCGTGAGTCTATTGAATCTAAAACTCTTTGACACTGTTTTAATCCATGCTGAATTTTCCCAGAGTTAATTATCATATAAGTATGCTTTATTTGAGACTTCACCAATGAGCTATCAGTGTTTCAGAAACATTGTGACAGCAACGTCAATGCCACTCAAGGTATCAGAGCTGGTAAAACACATCAGGATTGGTCCCTATCTGTAGCTATCATGCTGATGCAGTCACGTATACCTTTGTGTGTACGCAATGTATTCATAGTTAGCTACTCTTTTATAATGCCAATTATAAGCAAAAAAGGCTGACTATATTCAGCTGAATATTTTATTCTTTTTAAATACGTACACACATGAGAGGAGGAATGAGACATCACATAGTTATTACAGTTCTTGGGCCTGGCGTTGTGCAGTTCCTAGCTGCATACTGCTGAACTACGTTATTATAGATTGAGCATCCCGAATCCAAAGATTCCCAATGCTGTAAATCTTAAAACCTTTTGAATGCTGATGGGACATCACAGGTGGGAAAGTCCACACCTGACTTCATGTGAGACTGGTCACAGTCAATATGTGAGTGCAGTAAGTATGTATAAAATGACCTTCATTTAAGGCCGGCGCCGCGGCTCACTAGGCTAATCCTCCGCCTTGCGACGCCGGCACACTGGGTTCTAGTCCCGGTCGGGGCGCCGGATTCTGTCCCAGTTGCCCCTCTTCCAGGCCAGCTCTCTGCTGTGGCCAGGGAAAACAGTAGAAGATGGCCCAAGTGCTTGGGCCCTGCACCCCATGGGAGACCAGGAGAAGCACCTGGCTCCTGCCATCGGATCAGCGCGGTGCGCTGGCCATTGGAGGGTGAACCCACGGCAAAGGAAGACCTTTCTCTCTGTCTCTCTCACTGTCCACTCTGCCTGTTAAAAAAAAATGACCTTAATTTACCTTATGGGTAAAGGGAATTCCATGTTTACACTTGGTGCGATGGTTTCTTCCATCTGCTGGTTCACTCCCTAAATGGCCACAAGAGTTGGAGCTGGGCCAGACCAAAACCAGGAGGCTGGAGCTCCAGCCAGGTCTCCTAAGCAGGTGGCAGGCCCCAAGCACTTGCACTGTCCTCTGCTGCTTTCCCAGGCACATGAGCAGGGAGCTGGATTGGACATGGAGCAGTTGGGAGCTCACCAGGGCCCAGCTGTGGGATGCTGGCATTGCAGGTGGTGTCTTAACCCACTACCACAATCCCGGCCCCCGTGTGATGGTTTCATTGACAGCTTGGGTGCTCCTCTAAGACCCACAAGTCAGGGGCTTGGTTCCTGAAACCTTATATGCATGGTTAATGGACTACTTTGAACAGATTAAGGGGCAGGGCCACGATCTGATTATGGGATCTTGGAAGTGGGCCACGTAGATCTTCAGGCCACTGGGGAGTGCTGTCACCGGCGACCCTCTTGAGAAGGTATGTTATAAAAGCTGAGTTCAGGCCACTTGTTCTTTGCTTCCTGGATTGCCACGTGAGCATTCTCAGCGCACACTCAGCTGTCACCAGCCTCCCTCATCAGCTGCCCGACTCACGGGGCATCCGGTTTTGGGACTGCGGATCTCTACAAGCATGAGCCGAAACAGGCCTTCTTGCTTTGTAAGTAGCTCCTCCAGGGTGTTTTAGTTGCAGTAATGAAAAGCTGACAATACACTTGGGTCTGCTCGCCAGGATGCCTCATTATGTATATGCAAGCACTCGAAACTCCCCAGACATCCAGCAACTGAAACACTTGTGGTCCCAGGCATTTCAGAAAGGATATTCAGTCTGTACCCCACTGGAAATTATTTTCCTTTTGTGTCTTTCTTACAGTAGAGTTAGGAAATAATTTTTTGAATTTATATATGTAATTACATATGTTGTAAATGTTACATCTTTTACATATTTCACCACAGCAGAGAAAAGCAGGTGATATGCTTATTATAAAAAGAGTTATTGAGCCGGCGCCGCGGCTCACTAGGCTAATCCTCCGCCTTGCGGCACCGGCACACCGGGTTCTAGTCCCAGTCGGGATGCCGGATTCTGTCCCAGTTGCCCCTCTTCCAGGCCAGCTCTCTGCTGTGGCCAGGGAGTGCAGTGGAGGATGGCCCAAGTGCTTGGGCCCTGCACCCCATGGGAGACCAGGATAAGTACCTGGCTCCTGCCATTGGATCAGCACGGTGCACTGGCCGCGGCGGCCATTGGAGGGTGAACCAATGGCAAAGGAAGACCTTTTTCTCTCTCTCTCTCTCTCACTGTCTACTCTGCCTGTCAAAAAAAAAAAAAAAAGTTATTGAGGGCTGGCATTGTGGCACAGTGGATTAAGCTGCCACCTGCGACACCAGCATCCCGTAGGAGAGCAGGTTTGAGTCTTGATTCTGACCCAATTCCCTGTTAATGTACCTAGGAAAACATCAGAAGATGGCCCAGGGCCTCAGGCCCCTGCCAGTGATGGGAGAGACCCAGATGGAGTTCCAGGCTCCTGGCTTCAGCCTGGCCCACCTCAACTACTCCACTGTGCCCATTTGGGGAGCGAACCAGCAGATGAAAGATCTTTGTCTCTCCCTCTCTCTCTGAGTGTGCCTTTCAAATAAATAATAGATCAATCTTTAGAAAAAAATACAGAAGGAAGCACTGGGCCTGATAAGTACAGACTTTGGCTTCAGAAGCCAAGCTGGCCCTTTCTCTCTCTCTCCTTCAGACTCCAGGACACTCAGAAGGCTGGACGATTTCCCTGGCACCTCTCCATCTTGCTCTTAGCCACTATTCTTTGTATGCTAAACACCAGAGGCATACACCACTCAGGGCAGCACACCCAAGGCACCAGTCACAGAGCCCCGGCTGCTGCGAGCCTTCGCTGCAGTCTCTCAGGGCTGTCGCAGGCTTCAGGGCAGCAGCTTAGCCCATCCCTGCACCTGCCTCTGCCGCCCTAAGGCAATTGCCTCCCTCACTTCTTCAGCCCCCAGCCTTCTGACATGCACCCTCTCCTTCTGCCAGGCTCCAGGATCAAGTGAGAGAGGCCACAGACCCTCAGCAGCCCCAGGGAACTGTGGAAGCCTCCATTTTTTTCTCTGTGTGTATTGTGGATTCAACCCAAGGTGACGAAGCCCCAGGCTGGACAGGCCCTGCTGCCAGTCCCCTGGGCATGCGTTAGTGACCAGGTTTCCCAAGTATCAGTGTGGATTCTGAGGCTGAGAGGGATTTGGGCTTCCCCCAAACCACACAGCCAGAAAGCAGCCGAGCGAAATTCCAATCCTGATCCTTCAGCCACTTTCTCACTTTGAACAGAGGACGAAGACAATTTACAGGATGACACTGAGTTCTTACGACAAAGACGACCGAAAGCTTGATCCCAGCAGCAGCCTTTTTAATCACCCTCTTAAAACTTGCAACATGAAAAAAAAAAAAAATCCTAGGACTGAATTTATGCCTGTGTTGGGTCTTTTCTGGAGATCAGCACAATGTCACGCTGTTTTCATTTTGTGGCCTGGAGAACAAACTAATTAGCTCTTCCACTGGCACCAGGGTCAAGGAAATGTGCCACCAATGTCAGGATTTGCACATCAGCGCTGTCTCTGCCCTCCCCCCTTTCAGGGCCCCTGCTTATTTACAGGGTTGCGCGAAGCACTTGGAAGCGGCAAAGTGCTCAGCCATTATCATTTATGCCTTTTGCGTTTATGGAGGCTCCGTGGTTTTACGGGGAAGGCCTTTGTGAGTGCTCTGGCCCCCGAATGCCGCGGTCCTCGCTGTTAATTTACTGAGGACTGCCTGACCTCAGCTACTTCACTCTG